ATAGTCTCAAAATCCGTGCATGATTTCGGAAATTCGACTTCATATTCTTATTCAGGGGTCAAATTGAGTGGGAAATGGGTCTAACCCGAATTTTAGAACAACCGTATCAAATTTCGAAAATCGCAAAAAAATGCGATTTTGAGGGTCAACTTTAAAGGGGCATATCTCTCAGCACACAAGGAACTGGAAGGAGCTCAAACTATCAAAATTAAAGCTCTGTGAGTTAGCTTTCCAACGCAATTTGTTTCACCTCATTCCGAGTTAGGATGAAGGAGTTATGACCATTTTCGTAAAACCTCGCCGGCAGAAAAGTGCCATTTCCAGTAAGCCGAAACACTGTTCACCCGCCCCATTAATTTTTCTAAGTGTTGGACAATTTTTTTCCCAAAAGGGCATATGATATTCCCTATATATCATTAGTTCATTCCAAGTCTCTAAAACATTTCTCAAACATCCAAAAACTCTCTCTAAACCCTCTCCAAAAATTCCACCAAGATCATCAACCAAATTCAAGGATCCCAAGCTTTAATTCCGGATTCAAGATTCAATCTCAAGCAATTCTCCATTCCAATCTTCATCAAGAATTCTCCAAAGTTGAGGTATGTGGATTGATTGTGGAAACCTTCCTTTCCACAAGTCCAACCATTTATCCTCTATTTTACTTCAAGTTTATGGGTCCTTATGATCATTTATGAACTCTTGAATTATGGAATTATTACTACACATCCTATTATGGTCTATTTTTGTATATTATCATGAAATGGAATGATTATATGATGTTTATGGTTTTCATGCCTCCATGATCAAATTATGAAGGTTGTTATATATGTATATATATATGTATGTTGTTGGTGGGCTGTTTTATATGGATTTTGAAATTGGTTGGACTTAGTACTCTTGAAACACATGATTTTATTTACATGAACAAGTAGCCCACCATATGTTTGATAAAATGCCATTTATAGAATTCTTATGAAATGGAAGGTCCAATGTACGTCCTATGAGTCGGATGATTATATAAGTATTGAAATGATGATGAAATGGATACATGTATATGATTTTCTCTATATAGTGTGTGAGTCGACCAAGCCTAGCTCGGGGGGTTGTAGGCCCGGGTAACCGTATCAAGGGGTTGGTACCTTGGTTGCCTAGTACGGGGGGTAGTAGGCCCGTATAACCGTATCGAGGGGTTTGTACCTTGGTTGCCTAGTACGGGGGGTAGTAGGCCCGTATAACCATATCGAGGGGTTGGTACCTTGGTCCCTAGCTCGGGGGGTGGTAGGCCCGGGTAACCACATTGAGGGGTTTGTACCTCTTTCGCCTCTCCAAGGGGGTGGTAGGCCTTGGAAATACTATATTGATGGTCACTCACCACACATGTACTACGTCCCACTAAATATGATTTTTATGTAAGCGTCATTATATACATCATTTCATTTATGTGCTATCTATCGGGTATGATTATGCATTTTTCCTATGATGTCTATCTATTGTAGCATTGCATTGCATCCCACATACTTAGTACATTCAAACGTACTAACGCATACTCTATGCCTACATGATGTCACCATGTAGGGACCGGAGCACCGCTTGACCATCCTCCTCCGCGTGGCTAATACGATTTCCTATCAAGGTTATTGGTGAGTCCTCCATTCCGGGGACGTTGCTCATGATCTTTTGCTATGTATAAGACTTTTCTTTTTAGTTATGTTTTGACTATGAGGGTGAGCCCGGTAGTTTGTCTTGGCCCCCGCTAAGTACTCATGTTTAGAGGTGGTGTTGGACAAGTTGTGTATTATGCTTGAGCTTGACTCATCTATGGTATTTATGTACCATTTCTTCTTTTTTTCTCTTGCTCCCTTAGTCCCGATTTCCCCCTTTGATTATGCTTATTGCTTATGGTCATTTTAATTGCTTCCGCGACCAAGGATGTGTAATGATACGCTATGAGGCTTGTTTGGGGTTCCTTCGGGTTCCCCATTCGCCGGTCACGTCTAGGCCCTAGGCTTGGGTCGTGACAGTTGCACCTACAAATTTCTGGGGAATTGGTTTAATTTCCCTTTTTTGGATACAGGATGTTACAACCAACCTTTCTTGTCTTCAACTTTTCCGCTTCTTTTGCCCAGTAATGACCTTGCCTTGCTCTTTTGCCTTCATTGCTTCAAATCAACACTTAAACATCAGTTTAGAGAATATAATAGGCATTGAGGACACTAAAACAATGAATATTAAGCCCTAAATGAGTCGAAATCTCCGACTCATCAACACCCCCAACTTAAACTTTTGATTGTCCTCAAGTAAAACATGATATCAATAAGTTCAACAAGGATGTCTACAAACAATGCTACTCGAGACACAACATGAATGAACACGAGAGGTTCAAACTACCCATGCAACGGTAAAATGTGCACTCAAAGTAGTCATCATCAAATAGAATTCAAGCTCACAATGCTTGCTTCAAATGCAAGTTCAAGCTCAACAAAAACATTCAAATGCCCTCACAACAAGAATGATTCCATAGTCACACAAAGATCATTAAGTTTTCATACTTTAGGAATCAAAAGAAACTTCACACTCCCAAAGATAAACACATGTATGACTTTCCCCATAGGCTTGCTCGTATTTTCCAATCAACATGACATTAAGCTCAATCAAGATCACAAAGGTCTTTCAAGTCTTGTAATGGGGATGAGGGTAAAGGTATGATCATTTTGGTTTAGTGACTTCTACCTTCATGAAGCATGGCATCCATTTCACTTTTTCTCCTTCTCTTTCGCTCTTTTTGATTTTAGCAATCCACCTTATGTTCTTTTAAGCATGACTAAATGGATACCTCATTTCTTTTGTCCATTTCACAAACTTTATTTCAACAATTCTTTTCTTTTTAGATCTTCTTCTTCTTTCACTTTTCTTTTTTTTTACATGGAGGGGTTTCATCTTTTTCAACATGATTGTTTAAGGGAGAATTTCTCAAGCTTCTTAAATTTCTTCCTTTTTCACCACACCCCCAACTTAGGGTTTTTTCCTAAGTTGCTTATTCAAACGGACCAATTTCCATATTTTTCAACATGATTCTTCAAGGGCAAATTTCTCAAGCTTCTTAACTTTTTCCCTTTTTCACCACACCCCCAACTTAGGCTTGTGGCCTAAGTTGGCTATTCAAATGGACCAACATTTCATTACGATTTTAGGTGGGAATGAAAAAGGTCAAATGTGTGCTCAAGTTTCATCCAAAGAAAAGGGTAGGCTCAAACAGTGTCAAGCAAGGTTCGCACTCTCATACAGTGGTCACAAAAGGGGTATACTAACAATTTGTTTCACTCTTCACAATTTTTTCCTAAGATCATCCTTATCATTTGCCTACATTAGTTGATTGGACTAGCGGGGTAAGTTCTAGCTATTACCAAGCACATATTTCAAGGAAATCTCACCACACATGGCATTCAAACCCCATCATCAAACAAGACTCTACAATTTTTAGCTTGCGTGCAACGATCATCACAAGAGGTTAACTCAACAACCAGCTACTCACAATGAGATGCTAAGATCTCACATATGACTTATGCAACTCAATTTGCCTCATTGTGGAGCCGCACACACATATCGTTCAATCAAGAACACTATTCAAGTCATCAGTATTGATCATAAGTGATATTCAAAATTGCAAGAGAACAACCACATTCACAAACATCAAGACTTGGCAATTTTTACTTCGGTTCAAAACCAACATTAACATTAAGACAAATTATCAAAAGCCAATATATACTAAAAAAATCCAACATTCACACAAACAATCACACAAAACACATAATATCCATAAAATATCCCAAAAGAGGAAGGTATGAATACACCTCACTCTGCCAAACTAGACTACAAATTGTCCTCAAATACAAAGAAATAAAAATTCTTACTAAGGAACAAAAAAAGAGTCAAAATCCTCCAGTCAGGCTAAACCTGGGGTGAACTCTGCATGTCTATGACTCCCTCAGTCTGGGAATCAGTGACAGGCTCAACACCATATTTCTCTCTATTGGAGCCCACTATAGACGTTTCTCTCAGAGATGCCTCCATAGTTGTCTATACCATAGCTCCCTCGAGTCCTCTAAATAATCATATACAGATGCATCTTGAACACCTAGCTCCTCTTCATTGGTCTTGGCCTCTGACTCAGCATCTGCCTCATCCCTAGCAACATCTCCGATCATAGTAGCCGGAGGGATCTCAGAACTAGTCGAGAAATTTGTACTCGAAACCTCCGGAAGATCCACAGTGTCGAATAACATCGAGAGATAAATGGATTTCAGCTCATCAACATCGAGCCTCAGCCCAACCATATAGGCCTTCAAGGTCGTCACATCCTCAGACACACTTGTGCCTTGCTCACAAGCTTTCGCTCTCACAGTGAGGGCATCCAATGCCAATTCATGCACATCAATCATCTCTATGTTCTCTCTAAACTTTGCCCTGATAGGGGCTAACGCAGCAGCAATCACTCTCCCAATCAGCACATGTACAACAACCTCTACTCGGGAGGCACGAACATCAGCAGACTAGGCCAGGT